ACCCATCTCTTAGTGGCACATCACCACTCCCGCAGTAAAAAATATACTGAATAGTGTTCTCCTGCCCTGCTAGACAGCTGAGATTACTCAAAAGATTCTACGCGAGGTAACAGGCCAGTCAAATAGGGTTTCAGAAGGTGCAAGAAGCTACACCCTTTGGTCGTTTAGTCGTTTAGTCATGTCTGGCTCTTCGTGACCCCATGGACCAGAGCACGCCAGGCCCTCCTATCTTCCACTGCCTCCTGGAGTTGTGTCAACTTCATGTTGGTTGCTTTGCAGACACTGTCCAGCCATCTCATCCTCAGTCGTCCCCTTCTCCTCTTGCCGTCATACTTTCCTAACATCAAGGTTTTTTCCAAGGAGTCTTCTCTTCTCATGAGATGGCCAAAGTACTGGAGCCTCAGCTTCAGGATCTGTCCTTCCAGTGAGCACTCAGGGTTGATTTCCTTTAGAATTGATAGGTTTGTCCTCCTTGCAGTCCAGGGGATTCTCAAGAGCCGCCTCCAGCACCACAATTCAAAGGCATCAATTTTTCGGCGGTCTGCTTTATGGTCCAGCTCTCACTTCCATACATCACGACAGGAAAAACCATAGCTTTGACTATTCGGACTTTTGTTGGCAAGGTGATGTCTCTGCTTTTTAATATGCTGTCAAGATTTGTCATCGCTTTCCTCCCAAGAAGCAGGTATCTTTTAATTTCGTGGCTGCTGTCTCCATCTGCACCCTTTGGTCACTTAGGAAATATTTTACATTTTATTTCTGTCACATTCCATATGATACATTTTGTAAAAAGAACAAATTTTATGAAACTGTGTCACCATCACTATATTCTGCCCCAATGATAAGTTTGCATGATATCAGTAACAAAAAACTTTGGAGAAAGATTACAAACTTTAAAAGAGTTACAACTATTTTCAATTTTTTTTGGCTAGGGTTTCTGAAAAGTATTTTTACAGTGACTCCAAAAGCTACTGTTCACTGCAATGTTTATGCATGTCTTTCTATTAGTAAATCGTTCTCTACTTGAAAAGAGATTTCCAGTAGTGTCTGTGGCTTTTTCTAAAGGGGGTGCATGTTGAACTTTCAGTGGGAGAAGTGGAGCATTAGGCCAAGGAGTGGGAGGAACGCTGTGCTCAGGATATATGCGGTGAAAAGGTTCTGTTTTTATTATGAGTGAAAGTTTAACCACACTCCATGAATACACCTAGAAGGAAGCTGTGGAGGTGTTTTAATTTAATACTGTACACTTAACATAATCTTGAAAGACCACCAAAGATACTGTTATCTAAGATGACACCTTGCAGAGTATAAGAACCAGGCAATGAAATTATAAACGTTATTGCCTGTCTTCTCCTTTTGTTGAGAGCCAGATTATGTGTTAGTAGTAGTTATCTCTAAGGCAAGACATCTTTTTTTTTAAATCTGCATGCTCCTATAAGCACTTACCATGTACAATGAATTTCCTTTTATTATTCTGTCTCTGGCCACAGGTAAGAAACTTACTGTATGATTACATCAGTTAATAGAGCAAGAGCTGCTAAACAGCCCACTTGGAAGTGACTCTGGAAGAGTGCAGCTCAGCATTTAACATGCATTGACACAGCACTCAAGAGAAAACAAACAAAATTTTGTGGTTCTTATGTAATACAAAGGCAAGGGCAGCTGGTACCTTTATTAGACCTCTATTTTTTTTATTGCTAGCTTTTGACCTATACTAGTCGTCATCAAGCTGTGTACCAGTATTCAGTACTGCGGATGGTGCCAGAAAACACATACAGAAGTTCCAAGCCCCTGCCAGATGTTCTTGAAAGTGAGTTCTCAAATGCAAACACATATCAGGAGTGTAGGTTTCAAATTCCACCCCATGGGTTGCTAGCAGAATTCTCTCTCCCAACTCACCAAACATACAGTACTATTAATTTGGCTGTCATTGTCTTCACCTAGTGGGCAGATTAAATTTTATTCCCAGTTATCCGATAGAGAATTTGCTATGCTTCTGTGTAATTTCATTCTTTGGACCAGTAAGTACCTTGAGCTTAAAAGTAAGGCGATGGCAGAGGGGAAAAGATGGAATACTTGGCAGCCCTTGGTTTGTTCACTAGTTTAGGTTGTCAGCCTGTTGGCCCAGCAGAAAGCATTGCCATTTGTTTTTGGGCGAACAAAGCAACTGCTTTTCTTGTAGAACGTGTGCTTTCTATGGCTCATTAGAGTCTAGCTCCACGTTTAAACAGCTGTGGCTAATAACTAGTTTCTTAATGTAGAAATAAAGGCCACGAATAAACATTAAACTTAAGTTTCCTGTTTTTGTATCTCAGCTGTGCAGAGTCCTGAATACATTCTGCTTCAGGGAGGTTTTAATGCAACATTTTAATCATTAGTTCAGCTTTGACATGTTGGCAGCAGTATGAACTCCTGCCACCTAGATCTGTGTCGCAGGCCCTCAAATCCTTTTGCACATGGACCACAGTCTTTCAAAGGGACAATCTTGAGGTCCTTCCTTTCCCTCCCACTCATAACCGCACATACCAGCTTTCCTCCCACATGTGTAATATCCTGCTGCCAACGACAGCAACTGCTTGTGTGTGGAAAACTATTAGCCAAGTAGTGCATTTTTCAGTGTCTTCAGCGGCATTCCTAAGCTGAAACGAAGGACATATGCCAGGACTGGTAGTGCCAGCCTGCTGTCTTTAGACCACCAGCATGTCTCCTGCTCTGGTTCACACTGAGAATGAATGATTTACATTGGTGTGAAGAGGTTCAATCACAAACGGACCTTGAGAAATACACAGCATTTGGCTTGAAACCGTTTTATGTATTTTAACTGTCAAACTTCTTTGGTTAAACAACAACAGGCATACTGATTCCTTGCTGTTGAAGCAAAATACTGTATGTGTATGCATTTCTGAAAATATACCTGCAGAATAACTTGAACTTTGTCCTTAAATGTTTTAAAAACACATACCTGGAGTACAGCTTCACTCAAACTTTTCTAAAAGTTGCTCTTTATACCTTTAAACTTCAGAGTTTTTAAAATAACAGAATGGAGGAGCTTAATGCTAAATAATATGATGCAATAGCAACTTTTTTAAAAATCTGAATGGAGGAGCTTAATGCTAAATAATACGTATGATGCAATAGCAACTTTTTTAAAAATCCCAAATATTTAACTTTGGAAAGTAGCTCCCACTGCTAACATAATCCAATCCAGCCAAGACAAAAGTGGTTTGTATGTCTAGGAAGGTGGCTTCAGCCTATTCTAGACTTCGTTATATTTCCTCTGATGAAGCACATCCACCGTTTGTTGGGTGCCCAAACTGTCTTATGCCATGCAGTGCCTCTCAACAGCTGGGACCAAAGTTTCCTCTAAGATGTGTACACACTGCATGTATCCCATGCAGCCAGATCCATGTTGTTGCCAATTTGCTTCCGGTTGTGGGCAGAGCCCTGAACAGCGCTAGCAGAAATTAGAGGGAACGTTGGCTGCGACTGTGGTTGCAATTCGGTTGCTTTAACTTGCACCATGTAAGGCTGATGGTGGTGGTTCAGAAATCAAAGCCTTCTAATCTCCCTGGCCACAAAGGTTCCAAAGCTCTCTTGGGATCCCTTTTGTTGTGCGGAAGCGGGGTGGGGGTGGGGCACAGAGAGAAGTCTTTAAAATTGCTGCAGCTTGGATTGATTTTACTGGTGGGGCCTTGGAACCTTCAGGGATGGGATCAGAAAGGTTGAATTGCTAATAAACTGCCACATGTCATCATTGTTACTGGCATAAATTAAAGTGAAAGGATTTATCCTATCATGTATATGTGCATCCTGCAATCTCTCTTGGAGAGTCAAACTGGCTATTGTGATCCAGATTATGGCAACTTCAAGATTGTATTATTATAACACATAAATGTGGGACTGTCTTTAAAGACTATTTGGGAACTTCAGTTTCAAAACAACTGCTAGAAGATTACTAACGAGGACAATGAAAGGAGAACATATTTTGACCCTCTTTAAACAACTGTACTGGCTCCCACTCTGTTGCTACATAGAACTCAAAAGTGCCAGTACTTGCCTTTCAAGCCCAAACCAAGTCAAGCATGGCTGAATATGGAAACAATTGTTTGAGGCGATGGGGCAAGGGTTCATCCAGATGTGATGGGGCAAGGGACAAACTTGGAGACAAACTGAGACTAAAGACATGCTGTCTTTCCTGGAATGCTTGGCTAGTGCCTATTGTCTTTCTGGCAAGGACCTTCCCATTTTTTCTGGCTTTTTAAGTGCTTTACCTCTTCTTTTTATATGATGAGCAGTTTTTGTGTTCTTCAAATATGCATTCAACTCCACCTGGGCCAGGGGAAGAGACATCTGTGATTCTCCAGATGTTGTCTGATTGCACCTCCCAACATTCTTCATTGTTGATTACCCTGCCTGGGCCTACTGCAAGTCTGGGTTCTCTGAGATCTCATGGGTCACACCTTGCCCATCCTTGACGTAGCCATTGAACCCACAATCACCCAGGAATGTCTCTGCAGACATTTACTGATGAAGTAATTAATGCGTGTTTTAAACTATAATTCAGACGTGTGAGCCAGTAGCCTCCCATGTATTTTATGAAGCACCGTGCAATTTCTAAAATGATAGACAGTGGTATGAACAAATGACTATTCCTGTTAAAACCTGTTAAAAAGGCGTCTGTAACCTCAGACAGTAACACAAAACAGTGTGAAATTGGTATGTTGCTTCTATAGTTATCCTATTAAAATAGAGCTGTAGTAAGAAAATAAATTCTGCAATGCAAATTAATTACACACTGGCTAAAATCCTGTTGCTTAATCATAGTAAGTGGTGTTAAGAATAGGCCCACCAAATCCCTAAGTTCTACTAATTCAAGTGTGCCTGCTCTAGTGCAACACTATGCTAAGCAATAGGCCTTCAGCAACTTTTGTGACTTATTACCAACCTAATTAAAAGCCAGGCAAATCTACATTTATTAATGCATGTGCTCTTTGTTTCAGCTTTATCTTCAAGCCAGAATGAAAGGTGACTGGGCAAGACTCCTGCGTCCTACAGTACAGTTTGGTCTCATTGCAGCATCCATCTATGTGGGCCTCTCTCGTGTTTCTGATTACAAGCATCACTGGAGTGATGTCCTGACTGGACTTATCCAGGGAGCACTGGTAGCTGTGCTTATTGTAAGTCCATATAAAATTATTCTTCCAATTGAATTTTGCTCTTAGGCAGTCTGATCTATTTTACAATCCTTCACATTTGAGTTTCAATGGAAGTAAATAAGGGAGATAACTGCATATTCTCCAATTAGTTCAGTATCATGCCTGCAGCTTCTTTGAGAGGAAGGAGAAAGGTAATGGGAATCTTGATAGTTACTGAAAACAAGGTTGCCTCTTAGGTCCCCACTGTCAGTTTCTCTCCTCCTCCTTTATTCAGTGGATATAATGTATGTACAGTTAGGGGCAAACCACTTAAGAGTCTTTCCATTTGGCTGCAAGGTAGAATCATTGTGTTGTATTAATATTGCTAAGAGTTTATCTTGCATCGATGAATACTGTTTAATCTGTATCGCTCTGTCTGTCTAGGCTGTATACGTATCTGATTTCTTCAAAGAAAGGGGTCGTGCATTTAAACAGAAAGAAGAGGAAGACTCACATACAACATTACATGAGACACCTACTAATGGGAATCACTATGGCAGTAATCACCAGCCATGAGAGAATTGAGTTGTTACTCTGTGGCTTCTCTTGCTCTCTAAATTTGATATTTTGCAAGTTTTCTGGCCTATGTAAAAAAATAAATTAAATGCCTTTTGAAGGGACTGCTGCTGCTATACCTCTTGGATGCTCACTTTACATGTATATAGTAACACTTATGTATCTAAAAGCTTCAAAAACACAGTATTCCAGCTATTTTTTTAATTAAAATAATGTGGTAATACTTATGTACAAACAGCAATGGCTTATGTAATATGCTTTGCTAGCGCGAGGATTATGGTGAAACACAAGTTAAGAACACTAAGTATCTGTCCTGCTTGGGAAGAGAAAGGAATGACAACCTTGCAGTTGAATTTTGTACTTCTTGGCTGGTATGTACTGCTTTCTCAGCTGCAGAATCGATGTTATGTTAGTTCTGTTCACACACCACTTTGGGAAACATTTCTTATAGATACAGACTTGCAGCAAACACAATGTCTCTCTTGATTTTGGTAATACCTGTTAAAGGTAAAAGAATATTTAGTCATAAGGACAGTTGTACGCAAGTATCACTTGCCAAGCATAGCAGTATAAGATGCATTAAAACTGTATTTTTCTAAAGTTCAGCATCAAACCTTCAAAATGCCCATCCCCATTTAACCTCAAGAGATTTTGATGGTCTGTGGAGACACAAAATACTTTTCCATTAGTTGCTCTCTAAAAGAAGTGGACAGCAACAGAGGAAAAAGAGGTCCATGGAACCTCCATTCAGTTCAGAAAGGGCACTTTGGTTTGTGGCCAGACAACTTATAATTGCATTTTAATGATGCATGCACTCACAACAGACTGCAAATACAAACCTTCTGCAAACTTGTTCTCCAGTTCTGTGTTTCCAATGGCCTTTGCTGCCTGGCACATCTGTCGAAGCAATTCTTCTAGCCTTCTCATACATCGAATTATGCTCCCTGCATGGGCAGAAATAGCTTTTTTTGTATTAATTGTAAGATTATACACATTTGTAATCTCAAAACGTTCTCCTAACTGTACTGTTAAAATGGCTGTTCATTTTGTGATGCATTTCAAGATTTGTTTCAGCCTGTCTTTCAACTTTCTGGCTGGCTGTTCAAGACATCCCACCATTTACTTGCCTTACCTGAGCAGGCATGCAGCTTATTCCACCCTTGCCTTAAGCAGAAGCAAACAAACGACTGCCAGATGTTAACATGGTAGATGGCCAAAAAAAAAAAAAAAGACTCAAGAACAGCTCAGAATTGCAATGTTGCTGGTATTTAGGTTCTCCTGAAATGCTTGCAACTGAGAAAGAGAAAGCTCTGATTGTCTCCTGAAATACATTCTAGGTTTCACTCTTACTCTTCATGCTCAGATGTCTGTTTTTTTTTGGTTCTCTTAGAGGGGGCTACAAGAACAGACCACAGACTGCTAGTTTTAAAAAGTATATGTCATAGCTTGTGGCATGTATAAATGTGACTGCATAACAAGAGGCGGAGAAGGAACAACCACAGTTCTTTCATCGCTACATTTCTGCGTACGTTTGCAGTAAGCACATGGTGAAAGACATTTCTTTGTTCCAAACATTCTAGAGTATATGATAGAGCTGTAACACATAATGTGGCCTGAAGAACTGTATTTTAAGATTGCTTTCTTGTTTATATCTTAAATTGGGCCCATGATGTGAAGCGTTATCAGCCAGCCTCAGTGAGAGATTAAAGCTGATCGTTCGATTCCAGTTCCAGCAACTCTCATAAATTGCCACCTGGAATCAATTACAAAAAAAGACACAAGTCTGAACTAAGGGAGCCTGGAATATATCCTCACATAGTAGTTCATGCTATACTCTGAGCAAACTATTATTTGAGATATACTGGTTTTGCTTACAAGGACTGCTATGAAAATGAACTGAAGAGCACGTTACCATTTATACACATTTCGGTGCAAGTTTATAACAAAGCATGTACGTATGTAATGTAGGACACTTTCATTGTACTTCACTGCTAACATGTTCTGCTTGACACAATGAGCTACTTAAACCAGGTTTCCCCCTCCTTATTCCCAACTAACTGTTTAGACTACAACTCTCATACCAGATCCTGCTCCCTAGAGTGATAAGAGGAACAATATAAAAGACATGAAAAATACTGGACTGGGGGTAGACTAAGCCAGTGCTTGTATTTTGTGGTCCTCCTCCAAAATGCCACACATTTGTATTATGGCTACTGAAATTTCAATTCAGTGTATTTTGCCACGACAAAGAAAAAAGTGCCTTTCTAGTAGTAGCATAACTCACTTCTTTTGGAAGCAGCATCCTTTTGCTAGAAGGACTGCTTCTCTTGTCACAGGAGAAAAAGATTGTGTCATTTACACAGAGCTAGCAAAAATGGGCTTGATGGTGGTTTGGGGTTATGCTACTATGGTCAGTGCCTTGTCTGTGTTTTACATAATTTCTACCCTAGCAATGGAAATTGCTATTGTGGGCAACTCGCAGAGCTTCATTATCTCACCCTTTCTGATGCTCAAGGGCAAGAAACTTGGCTCAACGTGCAACTCTGGTCTCTCCACTAGTAGCAAAGAGTTCATTTACTGGGCAAGGCCTTCTATTACTTTCTTGCATTGCAGTGTGGGGGAGGGTGTTTTGATACAGCATCTGCAAATGAAACTATCTGCAGAATTGATTGCCTGCTTCACCGCAACCAATAAACTTTGTATCTGACAAAAGTGACTTCAAGACTCTAGTACTTGTGATACTCTAGCGTTTCTGGCTCTCTTAAATAGAAATGACCGTGGTAGAGACATAAAAGAATAGGGGCAGTATATCAATGACATCCAATCATAACATCTTTGCTACACCAAAACATAAGTGTGCAAACACACTATTACTCAAATGCCTTTTCCCAACAGTTCTATAGAGTGGGAAAAGACCCTTTCATTCAGGGCTAAATTCAACTTTGGAAGGGCCACATGCCAGCGATTTAAGGGCAAATTTTACCAGCCTGCTCCAGTTCATTGCTTTCAGGTTACAAAACTACTCTTGTTCTGTATGAGACCTTTTTGGGTTTTATACTATTATCTCTGTTCTCAAAGATCAGGGCCGAAGAAGCTCCACAGGTTCTGTGGATTGATCTAGCCCAAAAGTCCCCTATCTCAGTTGAACATGTTTGACAGACTTTATGTGCTAAGCCCAGCAAAATGTATGAGTTCAGGGATACCCCTTCCCAAATGCAAGCCTTGCATCTGATATGAAAGTCATTCACAAACTTTGTGAAAATGCAGCCTTTTTATTTTGCTTTTACTACCGTGTTTGCCCGAAAATAAGACAGGGTTTTATATTAATTTTTGCTCAAACAAACAACAACAAAAAAACATTAGGGCTTATTTTTAGGGGATGTTTTATTTTTTTCATGTAGAACCATCCACATTTATTCAAATACAGTCATGTCATCTTCTGGTTGCTGCACAATGGTGGAGGGCAGGGTTTCACTTAACTGGGGCTTATTTTGGGGGTAGGGCTTGTATTACGAGCATCCTGAAAAATCATATTAGGGCTTATTTTCAGGTTAGGTCTTCTTTTCGGGGAAACGGTAATTGTAAATGAGAGTACTCACTAGTATATGTAACAAGGGGAATGTACATTTTCATCAGAAATGAAATATATAGAAATAGTAGCAAGTTCTTAAGGCCAATTTATGCAGCTGACAATCTCTTTTGTATCTATGGAAAGATAAAGGCTGTTTGCAAGCAACCAATAATCTTACTAAAATTTAAAGAATTCTCTTTGTTGTGCAAATGAAATCTCAATAAAAGCATTATCTGCAGCAGCCAAGGATAAGCACACCAGATGGATAGCAAGAGAAAGGCAGTAACTTCCTTATAACCCAGTCCTCAGTGTTCCATTTAACTGTGTGTAAGATCATAATCTTTGGCCCTGGTGGTTCTTTCTCTGGGAGAGCAGGAGAGGGAAACCCCAATTTCTACCATCCTGCATGATCCCTCAACAATAGCTGTTATCCCTCTGAAGATGCCATGTGTCAGCAGTACAAGTAGCAAAAGGACATGATAAAAGGCAACAACTTGTTCTCATTTTCTCTGTTGCACAAACTACACAAGAGATATAATTTCATTCCAGTTCCTAGCTGTATGCCAGGAGGTTTTACAGAACTCTGTGGAATTTAATTCTGAGTAAAGATAGTGCTGAATATGATTGTGCCATAGCATATTTATGAGCAATGCAGTACACATGAGAGAGGGGGCAGAAAAGATGGACAGAAAATTTGCAGTAGGCAAGATTGACAAGAAAAATCCTTCCCCATACCCTCAGTAGATAGCATTAACCAAGGGAGTGCTGTATGCACAGCTGTTTTATCAACCAAAACACTTGCTTTAAGACTAGTATGTCTGGGTTGCACTGTAATCTTCACTGTTATCCCTGTAATACTCTCCCAGGAAGTATCCTCCAAATGCACATGGTAAGAGTAAAGAAGCAACAATATAGCTTTTACTAGGATAGCCCCACAATACCACGTTATCTTACCGTCCTGCACTAACTGCACTTTCAAATGCCGGTCGGTTTAGTCACACATACAGACAATTCAAAAAGTAGTGATACAGTGGTGCCTCGCTTAACGAGTGCCTCGCTCAACGATGAATTGGCCTTTGCTGGAAATTTTGCCGCCTCACCTAACGATGTTTCCTATGGGGGATTTTCGCAGAACGATGTTTGGTACCTTGCTTCACTTAACGATGACAGTTTTAGGTCCCCTGTTTCGCTTAACGTTTTTTTTTGGACAGCCCTGTTTTCGCTATTTTAAAAATATTCTAAAATGTTTAAAAATGTTTAAAATGCTTGGAATCGTTAGTGCACCTAATAAAACCTTTGTTAAAGTAATTTGGCTTCGTTCTGAGTCTTTTTGAATTTTTAGTGATTTTTGTTCATCACTGAAATGTATTGAATAGGCTCCTATTGGAACGGATTAACCGGTTTTCAATGCATTCCTATGGGAAATGGTGTTTCGCTTAACGATGTTTTCACATAACGATGTTTTTAATGGAACCAATTAACATCGTTATGCGAGGCACCACTGTATTAGCCTATCTGTGCAGGCAATCCAAG